GACGAAACTTTTGCTTTTCGGCCATCAAGGAAAACGATATGTCTGGCGCAAACCCAACACCTCTCATCACCCCGAGAACACCACCCCCACGGTGAAGCATGGTGGTGGCAGCATCATGCTATTGGGATGTTTTTCATCGTCAGGGACTGGGAAACTGGTCAGAATTGAAGGAATGATGGATGGCGCTAAATACAAGGAAATTCTTGAGGGAAACTTGTTTCAGTCTTCCAAAGATTTGAGACTGGGACCAAGGTTCACCTTCCTGCAGGACAACGACCCTAAGCATACTGCTAAAGCAACACTCGAGTGGTTTAAGGGGAAACATTTAAATATCTTGGAATGGCCTAGTCAAAGCCCAGACCTCAATCCAATTGAGAATCTGTAGTATGACTTAAAGATTGATGTACACCAGCGGAACCCATCCAACTTGAAGGAGCTGGAGCAGTTTTACCTTGAAGAATGGGCAAAAATCCCAGTGGCTAGATGTGCCAAGCTTATAGAGACATACCCCAAGAGACTTGAAGCTGTAATTGCGGCAAAAGGTGGCTCTTCAAAGTATTGACTTTGGGGGGGGTGAATAGTTATGCACGCTCAAGTTTTCTGTTTTTTTGTCTTATTTCTTGTTTGTTTCACCCAAAAAATTATTTTGCATCTTCAAAGTGGTAGGCATGTTGTGTAAATCAAATGATACAAACCTCCCAAAAATCAATTTTAATTTCAGGTTGTAAGGCAACAAAATAGGAAAAATGCCAAGGGGGGTGAATACTTTCGCAAGCCACTGTATAAGACAATTTCTATCTTGCCCTGTTTATCAAAAGTGTTGGAAAAACTTGTCAATAATCAACTGACTGCTTTCTTGATGTCTATAATATTGTCTCTGATATGCAATCTCGTTTCCGCTCAAGTTATGGATGTGTCACTGCAACCGTAAAGGTCCTAAATGATGTCACCATTGCCCTTGATTCTAAGCAATGTTGTGCTGCTATTTTTTCCGACTTGGCTAAAGCTTTTGATACGGTAGAGCATTCCATTCTTGTGGGTCGGCTAAGGAGTGTTGGTATTTGGCCTGGTTTGCTAAATACCTCTCTCAAAGAGTGCAGTGTATAAAGTCAGAACATCTGCTGTCTCAGCCACTGCCTTTCACCAAGGGAGTACCCCAAGGCTCAATCCTAGGCCTCACGCTCTTCTCAATTTACATCAACAACTTAGCTCAGGCAGTAGGAAGATCTCTCATCCATTTATATGCAGATGATACAGTCTTATACTCAGCTGGCCCCTCCCCTGGATTTTGTGTTAAACGCTCTACAACAAAGCTTCCTTAGTGTCCAACAAGCTTTCTCTGCCCTTAACCTTGTTCTGAAGATCTCCAAAACAAAGGTAATGTGGTTCGGTAAGAAGAATGCCCCTCTCCCCACCGGTGTGATTACTACCTCTGAGGGTATAAAGCTTGAGGTAGTCACCTCATACAAGTACTTGGGTGTATGGCTAGACGGTACACTGTCCTTCTCTCAGCACATATCCAAGCTGCAGGCTAAGGTTAAATCTAGATTTGGTTTCCTCTATCGTAATCGCTCCTCTTTCACCATAGCTGCCAAACGAACCCTGATTCAAATGACCATCCTACCCATGCTAGATTACGGAGATTTATAGATCAGCAGGTAAGGGTGCTCTCGAGCAGCTAGATATTCTTTACCATTCAGCTATCAGATTTGCCACCAATGCTCCTTATAGGACACATCACTGCACTCTATACTCCTCTGTAAACTGGTAATCTCTGTATACCCGACGCAAGACCCACTGGTTGATGCTTATTACTTAAAATCCTCTTAGGCCTCACTCCCCCTATCTGAGATACCTACTGCAGCCCTCATTCCCACATACAACACCTGTTCTGCCAGTCACATTCTGTTAAAGGTCCCCAAGGCACACACATCCCTGCGTCGCTCCTCTTTTCAGTTCGCTGCAGCTAGCGACTGGAACGAGCTGCAGAAAAACACACAAACTGGACAGTTTTATCTCCATCTCTACATTCAAATACTAAATCATGGACACTCTTACTGACACTTGTGGTTGCATCGTGTGATGTATTGTTGTCTCTACCTTTTTGCTCTTTGTGCTGTCGTCTGTGCCCAACAATGTTTGTACCATGTTTGAGCTGCTACCATGTTATGTTGCTACTGTGTTGTTGTCATGTTGTGTTGCTACCATGTTGTTGTCATGTGTTGATGCCATGCTGTGTTGTTGTCTTAGGTCTCTCTTTATGTAGTGTTGTGGTGTCTCTCTTGTCGTGATGTGTGTTTTGTCCTACATTTTTATTTTTAATCCCAGCCCCTGTCCCCGCAGGAGGCCTTTTGCCTCTTGGTAGGCCGTCATTGTAAGTAAGAATTTGTTCTTAACTGACTTGCCTAGTTAAATAAAGGTTAAATAAAACAAATAAAAATGTGCGGACGGCCCAGTACATCACTGGGGCCGAGCTCCCTGCCATCCAGGACCTCTATACCAGGCGGTGTCAGAGGAAGGCCCTAAACATTTTAAAAGACTCCAGCCACCCAAGTCATAGACTGTTCCCTCTGCTATTGCACGGCAAGCCGTATCAATGCACCAAGTCTCGAACCAACAAGACCCTGAACAGCTTCTACCCCTAAGCCATAAGACTGCTAAATAGTTAGTTAAATAGTTAACCAAATAGCTACCCGGACTATCTGCTTTGCCCCTTTTTGCACTAACTGTTTTGACTCATCACATATGCTGCTATTTACTATCCCTCACTTTATTTCTAGTTATATGTACATATCTACCTCAATTACCTCGTACCCCTACACATTGACTCGGTACTGGTACCCTTTGTATATATCCAAGTTATCGTTACTCATTGTGTCTCTATTATTACTATTATTACTTTTATTATTACGTGTTTCACTTTTCTATTATTTCTCTATTTTCTTTCTCTCTGCATTGTTGGGAAGGACCATAAGTAAACATTTTACGGTTAGTCCACACCTGTTGTTTACCAAGCATGTGAGAAATAAGATTTAATTTTCTTTGAAATGACTTGGAAACTAAGTTGATTCAACAAGTGTGTGCCCAGTTGGATGAAACTATCCAATCCATATTCAACTCCATAATAGATTTTTGTCCTTAATATTTTCCACTAACTGTAGCATATCCAGTGGATAGGTAGTCTATTTTGAAGGCCTACAATTTTATTGCACCATCAAAACTACAGAATTCCTCTAATTATTGAATAGGAAAAGGCTACATTATCTCGTGCATAATTAATGATTGTGTATTGGCATATAGATTTCTGTCTGTAAAATGTAAATGTAAATGTCTGATGAAGTCATAGTAGGCTATAGTCCTTTAACATCTAACGACAAATGTGCTTCATATTACAATGACATTTTTTTATTTAAAATGTGCTGTGGTCCAACAGTTGTCACAAAGCAGATCTCTTGGTAGACACAGAGCGAGAGAAAAGAAGTTCAAATGTTGTTGTTTTTTGTTGTCCTTAATGGGTTTCAACATCCAAAGTTTTGATCATAACTTATTCCAGGAATGTGGTTTTCTTAACCTGTCCAGTATAGAAACTGAATGAGCCGGTGCAATAAGAGGTATGTCGTTAGAAAGTTGGAATTGTCACACCATACCTCTATTCTCCAGGTGGGAAATGCTGTGGTTTCTTGCATCCCTGCGAACAGAACCCCAAGCACCGTCACAGCAAGCAAAGGAGCACTGAAATCGCCTCTTTGTAAACTTCTGAACGTCTGACACACCATCGTTGCGATATCAACTTCCAGAAACATTCCCTCAACAAAGACAGACTAGTCAATTTCACCACCATCTATCCCCATGGATATCAATGGCCATTGAATCCTTTTATTTGAACACAATATTTTCAATTGAGGATAAGGGTGGCAAAGCACAGTCCAGCGGAATGGGTTGTGGAATCCTTCGTCACCCGCCGCCAGCTCAAGGCTGCATCAAAAAGTCTGCAGCTATACAACCCTCGGCCGCAGCGCTTTTCCGCACAGTCTGCCAAATGGTTTCACATTACTTTAAATGAAGTTCAGAGCTCGACAAGTTTAAATGGAAAGGAAACCAGCTACATGTAGTCGACAATCTCAAAACTATTTTAACAAAACTATTATTTTTGACTGCTTATTAATTTGAAGAGAAAAAAATTACTCAAATGTCTATGTGCAGGTCTCTCATTTTAGCTGAGGTATGCGCATATAGCAATATTAGGTTGACTTTGATTTATATAATAACTCTTAATTCAAATTCAATTGGCCCATCTATTTTATAATTGCATAGGAAAACAGGCTATGCAAGTAAAATATAAAATATAAACTGATGTAAGTAAAATATATTTTTCAAATGTTATTTTCATTGTTGAGGGAATATTGCTAGTTGTAGTTACCTGCATCAAATGGATGGTGACCCATGATGATAGGCATACATTCTGCAGAACTGTGTAAAACGCAAATGTTGTAGCCTAGCCTACAGCAGCCTAGCCTACATCAAATAAGTGCGTGTGTGAAGGGCCAAAACACGCAATTTGAGTCTGGTGTGCATTCGTAGTCGGCAACGTTCGAAAAGTATTGAAACAAACATGTACATACAAGTTTTTGGAGATGTGTCGTTTTAGAGGGTATGGTATTTACCCCTAGATGCTGGCCTGAATTCGCCCTTTAATAAATCCTGGTGGGATAGGGAGAGATCGAGCTGACCCTAGATCTGTCTCTATCCTATTGCAAATTTTACCCGGAGCTGTTTTTTGACCCACCACCAAAGAACCGAGAATATAATTCCTGCCTTAGTATTTTTAATATATGGGTTGGTGCGAGTGTGATAATAAGCGATATTTTGTAAGAAAAAAAATATTTTTATTTAAATGTTCATCTTGAGAAAAGGGTTATTGGACAAGTCATCATTACAACACGCGGAACTCAGATGACATTGGAATGAGTTTCCAACGGTGCCTATTTATACTGCACTTTGGTTGGACAAAATGGCGTCCGTCAGGGTTAACTGTGATCAGCCAGTGAAATATCCTCAAAATTGACACGTAGCAGGCTTGCCAACGGAGCAGGGTCAGCGCTGTGGTTAGGTAGCGGTCACAGAAAGATGTTACATGGTGTGCAATAGTTTGTCAGAGAAAGGATACATAAAACAGGTAATGTCCGGTGTCGAACATTTCATTTCTCCCTGGCTATTGGCTAGCTAGCTAGCTAATTAGCACACTGGCTAGTTAGCTACTAGTTTTAATCCTTTAATCTCTGTATCTAGCTAGTTCACGATCCAGCCCCCTAGTGCAATGCTCTGAAGGCACATTTTACGAGGTTGTAGGAAGCAAGCAATGTGGCCATTCTACAGGTGTTTTGTACAATTTACAAGATGGTGCATTGAAATACAGCTGGCCCAGCTAGCATATTTCTAGCTAATGTTACTCAGGATGGAAGTACTGGAAATTAAACAGACTTGTTGCTACATCCTAGCATGTAGTAGCGAGCTTTAATCCTGCTCAACAACAATTTGTTTTTCCTGTTGCATGCTCTTGCAACCCTTCAATGATGGACAATATAATAGATGCTTCTTACTGGTTTTCAATGAACTTCAGAGCCTGGATTTTGTTGGTCTTGCTCATTACACAAGATGATGTTTACTGTATGTAAATTAAGTTAGTAGTTTACATAGTGGCGCAGTGGTCTAAGGCACTGCATCGCAGTGCTAGCTGTGCCACTAGAGATCCTGGTTCGAATCCAGGCTCTGTCGTAGCTGGCCGCGACCGGGAGACCCATGGGGCGGCGCGCAATTGGCCCAGCGTCGTCCAGGGTAGGGGAGGGAATGGCCGGCAGGGATGTAGCTCAGTTGATAGAGCATGGCGTTTGCAACGCCAGGGTTGTGGGTTCGTTTCCCACAGGGGGTATGAAAAAAAAAAAAAGTATGCACTAACTGTAAGTCGCTCTGGATAAGAGCGTCTGCTAAATGACAAAAAAAAAAGTTCTATGTGTGACCTCCGTAATTCTGTTTCAGGTTTACTATCCATTTGTTTATGATTGTTGCTGGTACTACTGCGGACCTTGGCAGAGGTATGGCTGTGGGGCAGAAACCAAGCCACACAGAGACATTTGTTTTGGCTGGATCGAATGGACATAATGAGACAAGGCATTCTGGTTTGAATGACATTGTGCGGAACCACACCGCTGACCACCGAAGCTCAGGGATGGCCCGAGTTGCGTCCGACATGAGGTACAAGTGTGCTGCTTATGTGCTGGCCCTGCGGCCGTGGAGTTTCAGTGCCTCTCTCACACCGGTGGCGTTGGGTAGTGCCCTGGCCTACAAGCTGGAGGGCTCTGTGGACTTGGTCATCCTCATGGTGTGTGCCGTAGCTGTGCTGGTGGTGCATGGGGCAGGGAACCTGGTTAATACCTACTATGACTTCTCCAAAGGGATCGACCACAAGAAGAGCGATGATAGGACTCTTGTGGATGAGATCCTGGCACCGCAGGACGTGGTCATGTTCGGAGCACTGCTCTACTCTCTGGGCTGCTTGTGTGCCACGCTGCTCTACTTTCTCTCCACGTTGAGGATGGAGCATCTGGCCCTTATTTATTTTGGAGGGCTCTCAAGTTCTTTCCTGTACACGGGAGGTGAGCTAACCATTATCCTGTTTAAAGATTTACTGACATTATTTCACTCACTATCTTTTTACCAGTACTAACCACACACACACTAATATCCAGATACTTATGATATCTTCCTTGTCCTGTTTCCAGGCATTGGTCTTAAGTATGTGGCCCTGGGGGATGTGGTGATCCTGATCACATTTGGCCCCCTGGCAGTCATGTTTGCCCACGCCGTGCAGGTGGGCTACCTGTCAGTCCTGCCCTTGGTCTACGCCGTCCCCCTGGCCCTCAACACAGAGGCCATTCTACACAGCAACAACACCAGAGACATGGACTCTGACAAACAGGCAGGCATCGTCACTCTGGCCATCCTCATCGGGCCCACGCTGTCCTACATCCTCTTCAACCTCCTGCTGTTTGTCCCCTACGTGCTCTTCTGCATCCTGGCCACCCACTACACCATCAGCATGGCCCTACCCCTGCTCACGCTGCCCATGGCCTTCCCCCTGGAGAGGCAGTTCCGCAGCCAGTGCTATTCCAAGATCCCCCAAAAGACAGCCAAGCTCAACCTCCTGATGGGACTTTTCTATGTCTTTGGGATCATTCTGGCACCTAAAGGCAGCTTACCGCTACTGTGATCCAATTGTAGCTTACATTTTTTTATAGCTTTTTTTTGTTTAAATACAGACTAGTTTATGTACATCTTTTTATTTATAATGATTGGCTTGAGTTCAAAGGCTTTAATTTATTGTCTAGATTATACATCCAGAGAAACAGACAGTTTAGTTATTCTTCTGTAATACTGACAGATATAACCAGATGTGTAATTGTTCCAGTATTTTGCACAGAGTTTTGTGTATCGGTTGAAGTCTGAGATGTGTTCAGACTCATTTAGTATAAGACCACAGTACAGAGGACGTTTCAAGTCCCTATGCCTCCTCGTGAGGACAGACATGGAAGAAACAGTTGCCATGCGTTGCGTCGGGTCCTCAGACTTGCTACTGGTGATGCAATTGTTCAAAATGTCAATAAACCAAATCTACAACTTTTAATCTCTACATTTAAATTAAATGTCTTATTTTAGGACAATAGCTTTTATATATTCTTCAGGTTATGAGGTTAAAATGATGAGCAACAATAATTTTATGTTTTCAGAAAAGAGACGGTAGCCTTGTAATTATCAGGTTTTGGAGTCACGGATTGGAATTGTCCATTTTAATTTTCAGACATAGGAGTTCAACGGTTAATCGATCCAGTCCAGAACCTAATACGAACTTGTGATGCGATGCGAGTACATGGAAATGCCCCCAAATGGTCCAGATCTCAGCTTAATTTGCATTGGACCAGGTGGTGACCTTTTTAGGATTCATTAAGAAATTACATCTATTGTCTTTGTTTTTCTTATTCCTCACATGACATTGTTCAAATTGGGTCATAAGAAAAAAATTTGATTGCAAAAATTGTCATATTATTTATTTACTTCAGGTTATATCAAAATTAGATATTTCAATAATTTGGACTTTCAGAAAGAACTATATCCTTACATTTTTCTAAGGTTTTGAAATATGCAATTAAAATGGGGCCACTGTGTGTGCCCAATTTTTGCACCACAGAGAACAGCCTTCGGTTGAGTGCCAAACTTCAGGCACAGAGTTTCTTAATACTGTACTGTCTTTGCTTCAGGTGTGAATAAGACATCAGTTCACCAATCAGAGCCTGGTGCTTATCATCAGGTTTGCAAGCCCATCCCCTGAAAGAGCCTTCCCCCTAACTACAGATCTGCAATGGTCGATATGCAATAATGTAGGCTACTATTGCAATAAGCCATTGCAGCTTGGGGTAGTTCAATCCATCATCAACTAATTTTCAACAAATCTTTACTTGGTGATACTTCATTTTCGACTTGGAAGGCACCGCTGTCTTCATGTCTAGTTGCAGGTGGAACGTTGGAATTTAGGAAATGCTTCATTATTAAATAAAATAATTTTTTGCACCATGAAGTAATCCAACAATGTATAATGCCACCCCCTCAACCTGGTCTCAGGGCATTTCGTATTATTCTGTATGTAAATCCGAGATACTCCATTTAGTATGATATGTTACGTTTCATATCGTATTAATTAAGTTGTGGATGTCCAGCACCCATTTTGTATTATACGTTACGAATTACAATTCGTATTATATGTAATGAATTTGCGGACGTACTATATGTTACGAATTTCTAAAACATATGATATGTTACGAATTGCCTAACGTTATCTAGACTAGGTGTTAAGGTTAGAGTTAAGTTTAGGAGCAAGGTTAAGGTTAGGAGAAGGGTTAGCTAAATTAAGGTTAGGGGAAAGGTTAGGGCAGACCCGTCGCCAGACCTCAGTCTTAAGGGGGGCATATGAAATGCATGGGAGGGCAGGGCACAATTATTATTAGCCTATGGTACGTATATTTAATAATACATTCCCTCAAGTGGGGGGGGGCACAAGCATTTTTGGGGGCGGGCCCGGCCCCCTATGGCCCGCCCATAGCGACGGGTGTGGGTTAGGGGATGGGGTAGCTAACATGCTAAGTAGTTGCAAAGTAACTAAAAATAAGTAAGTAGTTGAAAAGTTACTAATTAGTTCAAATGCTAATGTTGTCCCTGATGAGATTCGTACTCGCAACCTTTGGGGTGCTAGACGTTCACATTATACGCCGTAACAATGGTAGTCATTGTCCACAAAGCCGCATGGCAGACTGTTTAGGTCCCACCTATGCTTTCTTTGGACTGGTGGATACATGCAATTATGTTAATAATTTTTTTAATATTCGATGAGGGTTGTTGACGTCAACCGCATGTATTCAATGGAGAGATGCTATGCTACTAGCCTCATGCCAGGAATATGCATAGCCATCTCAGATATAGTGTTTTTTCTCAAAGTTGCGGGGATGTCACATGTCCTACTTATATTCGTACACTCGTAACAACCTAAGCATTACGAAACTTCTATTCAATCAAATAAACCACACGTAGCAAATAAGCCATTCATTCTTTTGTTGACCAAATTCGACACTGACTGAAAACCCCTTGCTTGGTGGGCGAAAGAACGCCAACTGCTGGAGGGAGACAGATTTTCCGCCGAGTTGGGCCTCTGTCTTCTCTCATTGATCGAAACAAGTGAGGTGATTTCTGAGTAGGCTATAGTACTTTGGGGTGGATACCCACCTATCTCAATCAGTAGCTATCTTTCCAATAACTTGTCCATTGATTTTGTTGGTCGACATTTAGAAAGTTTGCATAGAAAATAGGTAAGACAATTGCATGCCACGATGCGTTCTCATTTACATATCTTGAGTCGATATACACACGTTTTTGAGCCGTTTCCGCTCTACTTCCTGAACTCCTCCCGTCGATGCAATCTACTTCCGTTCTGCCGGGCTGGGTTTGTTTTGCTAGCTAGCTCCGTTGTGCCGACAAAGCACTGATATCGCAGTGACAAAGAGGATATAAAAATTACAATTACAACATGAAGAAAAGTGGTTCGGGAACGACGTGTGCGGTAGTTGGTTGCAAAAACTCGAGAAAGCACCTGAACGAGTGGTTAGATAGAGAGTGCTACGACCACAAACCAGCTACGAAGAGGCAATGTCCATGCGCTCCATTGTTTACATTTTTTCGCAAGCCTGATACCGACTCGGAATCAAGGACCTGGCTGAAGGCATTGAATCTAAAGAAACCACCCCTCAACGTTTTTGTTTGTTCCTATCACTTTGTTGACCAAAAACCTACCAAGGATAATCCTTTCCCAGAGTTGTGGTTGGGATACAATCGCCCTCCCCAGCCAAAGAGGCGTCAACTCACCCAGCGGACCACTGCCTCCCCCCAGATAAAGAAACGCAGACTTGAATCTGAGGGTAAGTTCAGCATCTTTAGCTATGAAGCTGACAATACTGTTAATTATGAAGAAGTTGTCATACATTAACATTGCTACCGGTATTTTGCTAAGGCAGTTGATTGTTTTGGAGATGGGACAAACAATGCCCACGATAGCTACATTATTAATTGTGTGTGTGTGTGTGTGTGTGTGTGTGTGTGTGTGTGTGTGTGTGCCTGCCTGCGTGTGCCTTAGTCTACATCATAAATACAATGCAAGGTGGCAGGCTGTTGTGATGATGATTGTGGGTGTGCGTGTGAGTGCAATGTTGTAGTACACATTTTTCCATTGTGATGTTTGTAGTGAGAGGACTCTATGCCTGCATTAATTTTGCTCCATCCATGTTTTCTCTTCCCCTTTTTAGATGCTCCAGAAACCTGTCAGCCTGTCTGTGAGGCCGAGCCTGCTACACCAAAATTTCGAGATGCCCAGACCCAATGGGAGGATCCGTCACATATTGATCACATTTACTGTTCAACAACACAGTCTGTTAAAGTAGACAAGGCCAGTGCGAGGCAGAAATGGGTCCTACTGTGACCAGCACCACGGTCATTGATGATGCTAGGTCCCGGCTGTATACAGGAGTGCTTATGGTTCAATTCTTCACCCTGGTGACGGTGTTGTTGCCTTTCAGTAAGCCATCAATTACCCTTCCTGTTGTTGACCAAATACTTATGACGTTGATGAAACTAAAACTAAACCTAATATTAGGAGATATTGCTCACCGCTTCAATGTGTCTACATCCATGGCAAGCATTGTGATTAGTCACTGGATTGACGTGATGGGTGAACAGTTCAAAGTCCTGATCCCCTGGCTTCCAAGAGAGACCATTCGTGCCACCATGCCCTTGTCGTTTCAGAGGAACTACCCTCGAACCACCTGCATCATTGACTGTGCCGAAAGTGCCATGCAGAGAGCCACAAACCACGACTCAAGCAGTGACACTTTCAGCCAGTATAAATCACGCAACACTGTGAAATATCTCGTCGCTGTGGCCCCTAATGGGCTAATCATGTTTATATCTGATGCCTATGCTGGCAGAAGCAGCGATAAGTTTATCACCATGGACAGTGGGTTCCTAGACTATCTGAGGGCTGGTGATGAGGTCATGGCGGACCGTGGGTTCACCATTCGAGACTTGCTTGATGAGAGAAGGGTCAGTTTGAACATCCCTGCTTTCACCTACAGGCGCAATCAGTTGACCAATGAGGAGACGACACGCACCAGGCAAGTAGCCAATGTCCGCATACATGTGGAAAGAGCAATCCAGAGACTGAAGGTGTTTAAGATTTTATCCCAGAATGTTCCCATCAGCATGGCACCGAAACTGGACAACATCTTAACCATCTGTGCTGGCCTAGTTAACCTGAAGAGTCCACTGATCAGTGAGGTTTAGAATCTTGCCCTGTGTCCCTGTCTACCAACACCCAGCCATGTTGTTCATTAAATACAGATAAACACAACAAATACTGCGTGCATTGTATTTTTTAATATTATATATGAATATTTTCATAGTGATGTAATTGTGTGGGCTGCTTTTGTATTTTACTTTTTAATACCTGTTAAGATTAAACACGCAATCTTTCTTGTTGAAGCCATTTGTTTAGTTTCCTCAAAACAATTAATTAATCCAGTGTTATTTATGTACAGTATGAGCTTACTATGAATTATGAACTGTGTTAAAATAAATTGTAGCACTCTAAGGATTGAAATTACATCAAACTTTATTTTCACTCAAACAGTAGGCACACTGATATATTGCACAGCATAAAGAGATCATGTAAACAATGGACATCTGTTGGCTCCTGTGGGCATGACCTAAATAAGGCAGTTTATTTTGGTTTTAAAATGCTGAGATATTTACTGCAGAACTGTAACCTTCCCTCAACAAAATCATCAACAATTTTCGGGAGCATGTGGGCAAAGTAGAATGTGCGCAGCCTTATGATATGCCCCTGGACAAAGCCTTGGTCGTAGGGTACTTCGATTTCTAGGTGCTCAGTTTTGTTCCAGATCACCAACTTGGAGTGCTGAAGCCCTGTGCAGTGCATCCCAATTTGTACCTGCAAATTTTGGACCATTGCAGGCAATATGGTAATCTACCCTATCTCCGTTTGCCACAGTTGTGATTTCGCAGTTCTTTGTTGGCAAAA